CTTCACAACCACATGTGTGTAGTTGCATGCTACCTCTCACACTGATTTAATATACATATAAACTCTCAAATTCTTATTCTGATATATATATATAATATACAAATATCTGTGGGACATTTGTAGAAAACTTCACAACCACATGTGTGTAGTTGCAAGCTACCTCTCACACTGATTTAATATACATATAAACTCTCAAATTATTATTTGCGGTTACTGCTGTTGCAGGATTGTATATGTCAGAGCAGTGGTTCTCAACCTTCCTAATGCCGCAACCCTTTAATACAATCCCTCATGTTGGGGTGGCCCACAACCCATAAAATTAGTTTCATTGCTATTTCATAACTGTAATTTTGCTACTGTTATGAATCAGGCAACATCTGTGATAGGATCATTTGACCCCCAAAGAGGTTGAGAACCACTGTGTTAGAGCATTTTCCACACTTGTTCTTAATGCTAAAGTCCTCCTCAGTGCCTTCTTTGGCGCTGGCCATGTTATGCCACCTTCCCCCCAAGTTTGTGTTGCCTTTCTCCTCACCAGAACTAACATTTATTGACCACCAGTTGCTTCTCTGAGCAAAGATGAGGCTGTCAGCTCCTTTGAAGATTTGTATTCTTGGAAACCCTATGTAGGGTCTCTATAAATTGGTATCAACCTGATAACCATGGGTTTTGGGGTACCATTTAATTGATGCTCCTTCCTTCCACATCCCATCCCTAGTAACTGAAGAATGTTGCTTTCTTGTATCAATTCATATAGTGATCTTTTACAATATGACTCCTTTTTTATCGATTTATTTCACTCACCATTATGTCCTCCAGATTCATCCGTGTTGTGAAATATTTCACAGAGTCATGGTTATTCTTTATCAATACACAGTTTTCCATTGTATGTCTGAAAACCAATCTTACCGCCATCAAGTTGATTTTGACTCATAGAACCCTATAGAACAGAGTAGAACTGTCCTGTGGGTTTCCACGTCTGTAAATCTTTGATGGGAGAAGAAAGTCTCATAGCTCTTCCTGCGAGCAGCTCGTGGGTTAAAGCTGCAGCCCAGTGTAACCTACAACACCTCCTTTTGCATCTATAAGGAAGCTTCGAAATAGTTCATTAAAAAGTGAAATTAGTGGATAATTAAACTTTTCCATGAACTTCTTGAAGTACCCTTGTATCACAATTTATTAAGCACTCATCCATTGATGGGCACTTAGGCTGTTCCCATCTTTTTACTATTGTGAAGGATGAATCAATGAACTATACATCTATTCATATTACAGTCCTAGGATACATTTCTCTACAATATACACCTAGGATTGGGATTGCTGGGTCATACAGTATTTCAATTTTTACCTTTTTAAAGGAAGCACCAGACATTTCCCTAGGAGTTGTATCATAGTACAAAATATTTTAACTAGACTTTAAAGAAATGACACAGTTGGGCACATTTAGGGTGGTATGGCTGTAGACAAGTCTTTGAATATATGAAATAGACTTTAAATGTACTCATTTTTATTTTAAGAGTACCAATTAATTCCGATGATTCTTTAAGATGGCTAAATATGTGTCTCTGCCTAATCCTAGCCATATGCAATACAAACAATCCACCCACACCCTTGCTTCTCAGTTCAGGCATTAAAAATAAGCCAGCACCTCATGTGCCAATACTTGAGTGCAACATTCTGACTTGAAGCAGCAAAACAATAGGGAGGTCTGTGGGGCTGGCCCCAATCCCAGCTATGTGGACCCCTCCCCAGAAGAATGAACTACAGTGGATAGTGCTGAAGCTACAGCTTGGAGAAAGGGGCATTTGCTCAGAACACACAGGAGCAAACTGAGGGAAGGAGAGAGAAGGAGAGAATAGAACGCAACCTGGCCCACCAAGCCCCAAAGATGATATTCCCGCTTGGAACAATCAATGCACAGAGAGGACCATAGGTCCAGCCCCACCACGAGACAAGAGACACAGCATCCCCTCACTGACTGACAGCACTATGGGGGACAACACTGGAGACACAGTGCAGGAATTGTTCCCAATGTGACCCCAACACACCGGGGTGAAACATGAAGGGCATGCAACAGAGCAGCAAGGGAAGCAAAGCAATGAAGTACCAAAGGAATCCCAAAAATAGACTCCATGACACTTCATCAGACTCGATCAGAAAACAGAAAGGTCAACAGACAAACCTGGAACTATTGATAGCAGTGGTTCTCAACCTTCCTAATGCCGCAATACTTCAATACAGTTCCTCATGTTGTGGTGACCCCAACCATAAAAACAGTAGTTTTGCTACTGTTATGAATCATAAGGTAAATATCTGATATGCAGGATATATTTTCATTGTTACAAATTGAACATAATTAAAGGATAATGTTCATCACAAAAACAATATGCAATTATATATTGTGAAATATTTATTTCTAATTACAAAAAAATGAAATTTTGTCTTGAAGCATGGTATAGCATGGGTAACAGTCTTCACACCGTGTAGTCATATGTGGATGTATTGGTATATGGGCATACCCACCTGGAGATGGATAGAGGAGTGGTATCTCAATTCCTAAGACCATTGGAAATATGTGTTTTCTGATGGTCGTAGGCAACCCTTGTGAAAGGGTCGTTCGAACCCCAAAGGGGTTGTGACCCACATGTTGTGAACCACTGATTTATAGGCTTTTCTATGTTGTTGTTTTGTATTTGTGTTTTTTTTCATGTCTATCTAGATAAGATGGGAAGGATAAACAATCCTGAGAAGAAAACAATGGGACCGACCATTGCGGGAGCATGGGAAGGGGACAGGGGAAGGAAGGGAGGAGCTAACAAACCCAAGCAGAAGGGAACATCAAGGAATCTACAATTAATTGTGAGAAGAGTGTAGGATGCCTGGTGGGGCTTGATCAGTGCAATGTAGCTGTGAGGAATTACTGGGCGTGAAATGAAAGTGGAACATGATAGTGGACAGGAGGAAAATAAAAGGAAATAGAGGAAAGAACTAGGAGGCAAAGGACATTTATAGAGATCTAAATACAGGCATGTACATATGTAAATATATTTATATATATAAAATGATAGGGACATAGTTCTATGTACATATATTTATCGGTTTAGTATTAAGGTGGACATTGGGCCTCTAGTCAAGTACTCCCTCAATACAAGAACACTTACTAAGTTCTAATAACTTGGCATTCTCTGATACTCACTTTCTTGACACAATCACTGAAGACAAAGGGGTGCATAAGCAAATGTGGTGAAGAAAGCTGATGGGGCCCAGTTATCAAAAGATATAACATCTGGGATCTTAAAGGCTTGAAGATAACTAAGCAGCCATCTTGGAAAAAGTACACCAGCCTGTGCGATTATGAGGTGCTGAAGGGATCAGTTATCAGGCATCAAAGAACAAAAAATCATATAATTGTGTGCTCACCTGCCCAATACGATAGCTTAAGACAAATGGGTGCATAAGCAAATGTGGTGAAGAAAGCTGATGGTGCCCGATTATCAAAAGATAAAGAGTCTAGGGTCTTAAAAGCTTGAAGATAAACAAGCAACCATCTACCCAGGAAGCAACAAAGCCCACATGGAAGAAACACACCAGCCTGTGTGATCATGAGGTGTCGATGGGATCCTGTATGAGGTATCAGAAGACCCAGAATAAACAATCATATCGATGTGAACAGGGTGGTGGTGGGATACAGAGTAGAGACTCAAAGCCCATCTGTAGACAATTGGACATCTCCTCACAGAAGGGTCACAGGCCAGCCAGGGTGCAGTATAGCACTGACAAAACATAATATTCCTCTATTTCTTTAATGCTTCCTCTCCCCACCCCCACCCCCCACTAACATGACTCCAATTCTACTTTAAAAATCTAACTACACCAGAGCCTGTACACTGTTACAGATAAGAGCTTTCGACGCAGGGAATCCAGTACAGATAAAACCCTCAGAAACAATAATGGGAATAGCGATACCATGAGGGTAGGAGGAAGGCGTTAGGAGAAAGGGGGAACCAATCACAATGATTGACATATAACCGGCCCCCACCTCTGAGGGGGGTGAACAACAAAAATGTCAGTGAAGGGAGACAGCAGTCGGTGTAAAATATGAAAATATAAAAATAAAATTTATAAATTATCAAGGGTTTATGAGGGAGGGAGGGTAGGAGAGGGAGGGAAAAAGTGAGGAGCTGATACGAAGGGCTTAAGTGGAAAGAAAATGTTTCGAAAAGGATAATGGCAACACATGTACAATTATGCTTGGCACAATGAATATATGGATTGTTATAAGAGCTGCACTAGCCCCCAATAAAATGATTTTTCAAAAAAATAAGCCAGCAAAAATGTTAAAATAATTAATACTGTTATGTATTCTTATTAATGTGCTAAGAAATTCTGATAAATACTTTACATGCGCTATCTCCTTTAATCTTTAAAATCGTTCTTTGAGTCTATTTGCTGTCATGTCCATTTTAAAGATGGTGGGGGGGCGAGATTAGTGAGATTTAGAGTAAAAGTTACCTGAAATTTTCCAGAGATGGAGTCTTCCAAGGATACGGCAAAGGGCACTGTTTTACCAGAAACCAAGGCAAACATAACACCAATGCCTGTGGATGGACGGATTGTCAAGGACCCATTGATTTGCCAGTCCTCAGGATAGGAAGTGTTACCTGTTAAAAACAATGAAAACAGCAGATCAGCAATTAACCAGAATAATTTATTGCAATCCAGTTGTTCCTCAGAGCCATACTAGAGATTTTAGTTGTCCTTTTTTATTTATCCATATACTCTAGGCAACACAAAATAAAATGTTTCTTAAAACGTGGACAAGAAATATACGAATGTAGTCTCATGTTTCTGTTGTTCATCCTAGAGTGGAATTGTGTGTGATCTTTACCTATCTGTACTTTAACAGCTCTTCTTTCTGGCTTGAGTATTAACCAATATTCAAATCCCAGATGAGTCACATTTTAAAGTATATACTTAAAAGGAAGTGGCTCAATAAATTTATAGTATGCGGAGGCGAAATTTCAATACTGTCTCTCACTGCCAATAAGTCCATTTCAACTCATAACGGCCCTATAGCATAAGGTGGGACTGCCCCTATGGGTTTTCTAAACTGTAACTCTTTGGGGAGTAGCAAGTCCCACTCTTCTCCCCAGGAGCAGCCCACTGGGCAACCACGACATCACCAGGGCTCCTAAAGTTTGATACAGCCTACTAATACCTCCATGCCTTATACTCCAAAAAGGGATCAGATGCTCAGAGAGGGATTCAAAGAGTTTGTGAAAACAATTCCAGTATCTTTCAATTCTATTTTCCCATGACCTTTTTGAAGGTCCCTCTCCCTCATGTGTGTGCACACACAAGTCCACACCCATTAGGTGTATCAACAATTTGAACAGTTCAATAGTACAAAAATACTCTGAAGTTAGCAGTTGACTTTGAAATTAGAATCTTATTCCATGATACTCTTAATATTTAGTAATCTCAATGTCTAGGTTATATATCTCTGCTCTATAAGAAAGCAAGCTCTGAGAGGTACACATATGTCTCTTAACTTTGTTTACCATAATAATCACACAATGAATACTTGGTAAGCAAATCTCCTTCCGAAATAGTTGGATTCCTAAGAATATTAATTCACCATGGGAAGAAAGTCTTCTTCCCGTAATTCATATAGGAAGAAACATGTAACAATAGCCCAAATAATCCTCCGAAAAACAAACTCACTATCGTCAAGTCAATGCCAACTCATAATGACCTGGTGTCACAGCGGGTTACATGCTGACCTGCTAATCACAGGTCAGCAGTTTGAAACCACCAGCCTTGTGAGAGAAAGATGAGGCTTTCTACTCTGTAGAGATTTATAGTCTCGGAAACACACGGGGACAGTTCTACTCTGTCCTGGTGGGTTGCTGTGATAAATTACTCCTGAGGGCCTTTGCAAGAGTTCATGCAAATGGAAAAAATAATTTTCCATTGTTAAGATATTCTGTAACTAAGCCAAATAAAATATGATTTTCATTATAATTCTTTAGCTTCCACCCAGATACAAATACCATAATTTTGAAATAAATAAATTTAAGTTAAAAACTCAAAAATTCACTGTCATCCAGTCAATTGTGACTCATAGTGACCCTGTAGTACACAGTAGACCTGCCCTTGTGCACTTGGGGGACTGTCAATCCTTATAGGGATAAACAGCCTTATCTTTCTCCTGAGGTTTTGAACTGCTGATTGTGAGGTTAGTGGGTCAATACATAAGCCACTACACCACCAGGGCTCATTCTACTGTAGTAAAAGTCATGAATAAACTCAAATGAAAATGAACACGCAAATGTGCAGAAGTAATCATCTAGCACTGAATATTAATCATAATATAATTCACTTTCAAATTATTCATGAATCAAATAATTTATTAAAACACTTTTTCAGGTACAATAAGTTTATATTCTTTCTTTCTTCAGGAGTTTTTACCCTTTGAATAAATCTTAAGAATTTTAGTTTTTTTCTTCTACATTTACTCAAATTCATTTAAAACATTTCTTAACTCCTCATAAGTAGAACAGAGCTAAAATTAAAGTTATGGAGTTAATTTATGTTAAGAAAATAAAAAACACTAGTGTAATACTCTTCCTGAAAAGTGTAGCTAAGTTTTTTGGAGTGCTATAAATAAACAGCCCAATATAAAATTTTAATTTTTATATTTTTATATAAAATATAAATATATTTTTATCTTTAAAAAAGAAGTATCATAATTTAATATTAAATGTAGTTTATAATGAAAAATATTAGTAGCTCAAATAGTAAATTTCAAAAACAGAAAAAAAATAACCAATAAAATAATTAAGATATAAAATGGCTGGGGGGAAAAAGATATAAAATGGGTAATAAACATTGAAGAGTTAATCAATATTAAAATTTTAAGTTCCAAGATTAATTTTTTAGACTATGAAATTAGAAAACAAACTTTAAATACAGCTCTCTCATTCTATTAGTAAAAATATAAATTTATAAACATCTCTAAAAGAGAATTTGATCAAACTTTTAAGAACTTTTAAGAACCTTTTAAAGAGCTAAAGTAATTCTAAGACTGTATCCTACAGAATCTTTGAATATATGAGGCAAGAATGTGTATCAAAGATGGACCCCTGAACCTATCACAATAATCGACATACAACACACACACCCAGCCCCACACCCCACCCCGCCTCCCCCACCCCCTGCCCAGGAGGACAAACAACAGAAATGTGAGTGAAGGGAGACAGGGGAAGGTGTATTATCAAGGGTTCACAAGGGTGGGAGGGTAAGGGAGGGAGGGGAAAAAAGAGGAGCTGATACCAAAGGCTCGAATAGAAAGAAAATGTTTGGAAATGATGATGTCAACATATGTACAAATGTGCTTGATACAATTGATGTATGGATTATGATAAGGGCTGTAAGAATCCCCAATAAAATGATTTATTAAAAAAAAAGATGGACCCCCTTAAGTAGTATTTGAAAAGGTAAAAACCTGAAGTCGGTTTGGTAAGACTTCCTCCTCTGTGATCACTGACCAACGCATACTTAGTGCCTCAGCTGTTAGATTTGTTTCTGGGTGTATTGGACCTGCTGATTCCAAGAACGGCACCTGTCCTCTCCTATCAGCTCCAGTCTTTGAGACACAGAACATGTGCTATATACCACCCTTCACTTGACTTGCCCACAAAAAGTCAGTATATTTTAATGTAGTGTAAGCATGCTGGTTTTATTGAAAGTAGTTTGCGTTGTACTAAACATTCGGGTCACGTTATACTCCACATAGTGTCCTTTGATCCAGAGATACATTTGAACAGTACGAATTACATGAACTTGGAATTTTCCTCAAGTATCACTTCACCTTCATTAGAAACTGAATCGCAGGCAGTTTCAGCTTGTTATCTTAAAAGGAGGCCAAAAATAAGAGTTACAGTACAGTAAATAGGGAGTCCTGATAGTGTAGTAGATTATGTGTTTGACTGACATTCAGGCCCACCAGACACCCTACCAGAGAAGAATGAGACTTCCTACTCCCATAAAAATGTACAGACTCAGAAACCCACAGGACAAGTTCCACTCTGTCCTATATGGTCACCGTGAGTCGTTATTGACTGGCCGATATTGAGTTTGGTTCAAATAAATAGAGATTCAAATGTCTGAAACCCAAATTGGTTCAAACTCCTTTATTAAAATTTAAATGTTCCAGTCTTGTTATAAGATGGCACTTCAACAAATGTACATATGTGCTTGACACAATGGATGTATGTATGGACTGTGATGGGAATTGTACGAGCTCCCAATAAAATAATTTTAAAAAGGAAGAAAAAGATGGCACAACTTCTCTGTGCACAGATTCTCTTTAAATAAAGTTAGAGTTTTTTGTTTAAGAAAGTTGGAGTCAACCTTACCTCAGAAACATTTAACATGATTTATCCATTGCTTTCTATATATTGAAATGTGTTCTGAAATGCTTACAGCATAAATTTAAGAAGAAAAATTTAGATGTTAAAAATATGTATGAACATTGCTGTGAAGTCTTGAATTTTTGATGCTCTAAATTGCCATCACACCTTCCCTAGATGTGCCTTTTCAATCCCCCCTCCCCACACACACACACACTGTCCTCAAGCTGTGCTCTGACTTTGCAGTTGGTTTTGCAGACTGCAAATCCAATGTGTACAAATCCAATGTGTAGTCTCCCTCGATATTGCACAGTCCCCCGTAGCAAAAAGGGAAAACTCGCTGCCGTCCAATCAATTCTAACACATGTCCAACCCGATAGGACAGAGAGGACCTGCCCCTTTGGGTTTCCAAACCCTTCAATCTTTTCAAGGCTGTAGTAGAGCGACTGATGGGTTCAAACCACTGACCTTATGATTGGCACCTCAATGTGGAACCAACTAGCCACCATGGGTCCATGTACAGTCTCCCTTGGAAGTTCCTCAATACCTAATTCTTTTCAAATATGTCTTACTTTTGTTTTATCCTGTAATTTGTGGGTCTGAATTCTTCTGAGATTTAAAACTAGGATGATAAATTAATAAATTAGTATAACTTAAGAGCTGATAATGTACTGGGACACCATATCTTAGAAATTAGAGCTGATGAAGTCTATCCAAAGACTAGCACTCCAATTTTTTCTGAATCAGCACTCCAAATAACCCAGGAATAGGCCTAAAACCAAGACACCCAGAAAAAAATGTGTTGTTGTTTGGGGCTGTGTTATCTACATAATGACAATTTCCTCTGACGGTCAAAGTGTTGAGGTTCCAGACAACGAACAATTCAAAACCTAGAGGAAGAAGGGAACTTCCAAGGAGTGCTATGATGAGAGGATGTGCTTACCTGGAGCAGACATCAGACATTCTGGTAAAATAATTTAGGTAAAAATCTTAACAACTTGCTAAAATTCAAGGAGCCCTGGTAGAATAGGGGGTTATGAGTGGGGCTGCTAACCACAAGGTCAGCAGTTCAAAACCAACAGCTGCTCCACTGGAGAAAGATGGGGCTGTCTACTCTCAGAAAGAGTTAGTCTTAGAAACTCACAGAGGCGATTTTACCATCTTACAGGGTCCTTATGAGACGGCATCAACTTAATCCATGGCAGTGAGGTGAGGTTGCAAAAATGCAAGTGTGGGCTGATGTGAGATTATAGAAATCTTGCAAACTGTAGACAAAAGGGATAATTCATACCCATTCCCCTGCTCTTCTTCATAACCCTTCTTCGCCCCAATTACAAGTAGTATTTGTGTAATAGTTCATAAAAATATTTTTATAGTCAACAAACAAACAAATAACAATAACAATTTCAGTGAGTTGATTCTGACCCCTAGAGGCTCTACAAGACAATATAAAACTGCTCGTGTAGGTTTTTCAGACTTTTCAAACTTTCTCAAACAACTGACCTGGTTGTTAGCAGTTCAGTGTATAATTTACTTCACCACCAGGGCTCCTACCATATGTAAAAGAATGTGCTTGTGCCATGTGAACTTTAAAACAGGTCGATGGAAATTACCCCACAGTAATCATGTTATACTTCAGTAAATGTTAAATAGTAACATAAATAGTAGCACAAGTATATTCAACACCATTTACAAAAAGTTCAGGAAAATAAAATGGAAAGAATGGAATTTTCCCAAGAACATTTTGAAGCCCCCTTGTATACATGGGAAATTTATAACAAAAGTAAGCCCAGTAGGGTGGGCAAGGGAGGGAAGATGAAGCAGCAGGCTAGTGAGTTGACAGATATTAACTCAGGGAAGGGTAAAACAGTCATCTCCAAGAGGGAGAAGAGAAATCCAGGGAGGGTGGTAAGGTGAGCAATTGCAGTATTTGATTCGTTTAAACTGCTCACTGAAGACATGAAGGTCTGAAACGTAAAACCCCCACCTCATTTACAAGTTAATAACATTTGTTTAAAAATGGTTAAGAACAAGAGGAAGCCAGGAGCATAAAAAGTATTGGATAATGTGTACTGATGGAGTCACGAGTATTTGTCAGTGAAAACAATTAGTCACTAATGAGAAATGAGGAATCACTTACTGTAATTTATGATAAATCGAGCAACTCCGGAACCAGAATAATAGGAACCCTTTTCCACACTGACGAGGCAATGCTTATTTTGTTTTTCTTGAATTATTTCCTTTACTCCTGAAGCTCCTTGATGCATCAAGTTCCAACCTCGTATACATCCATCCAGGCGAGGATTAATCTAGCAAATTAAAGGACAGGTCAAGGAATGCATTTCAAATTTAACCAAGTCAGACTGATCGTTGACTTACTTGATTTTAAGTATGGATTTTAAATCTAGAGGAAAAGCTTTTCTCTTGGAGGCCATTTAAGCATATTTTCCACAATTCTACATAATATTTATTTACCTTTTTCGTTTGGAGCTTTCCTTCAGATGGATACTCTGTTTCAGTAGAAGTGAGTTTATGCCATCATAAATATCCCCTGGAATCCACCTACCTTACCTATGACATTGAATGACAACATTTTTGCTCGAAGGTTCTGTAAGTGCTTCCAGGTGTAGTGCTGGGTGCTAAACTGCTTTTGACTTCTCAGTCATTGAACTTGGTGGATAGCTTTTGATTTATCAATCAGACTATAGCCTCTTCAGGAACAAAACCATGTTAGCATATTTTTTTAATAAATCATTTTCGGGGGCTTTAACAGGTCTTATAACAATCCGCATATCAGTTGCATCAAGTGCATTTGCACACATGCCACCATCATCATTTCCAAAACATTTTCTTTCTACTTGAATACTTGGTATCAGCTCCTTTTTTGTTTCCTCCCTCCCTCACCCTCCCACCCTCATGAACCCTTGACAATTTATAAATTATGTTTATTTTCATATTTTACACTGTTTGCTGTTTCCTTTCACCCACGTTTCTATGGTTTGTCCCCTTTTTGGCAGGGGGGTGGGGTATGTTCAATCGGTTCCCTTTCTCCCCTGACTTCCCCTACCCTCATGGTATCGCTATTCTCAATATTGGTCCTGAGGGGGTTTATTTGTCCTGGATTCTGTGTTTTGAGAGCTCTTATCTGTAGCAATGCACATGCTTCAGTCCAGCCAGATTTGTAAGATAGAACTGGGATCATAAGAGTGGCGGGTGGGGGGGTGGGGGGGAAGCACTAACGAACTAGAGGAAGGTTATGTGTTTCATCTGTGCTATACTGCACCCTAGATAACTCATCCCTTCCTTGTGACCCTCCTGTGAGGGGATGTCCAATTATCTGCAAAGGGCTTTGGGTCTCCATTCCAAACCCGCTCATTCACATCAAAATAATTGTTTGTTTTGGGTCTTCTGATGCCTGGTACCTGATCTTGTCAACACCTTGTGATCACATGGGTTGGTGTGCTTCTTCCATGTGGGCTTTGTTGATTTTCTGCTAGATGGCTGCTTGTTTCACTTCAAGCCTTTAAGACCCCAGACACTATATCTTGTAATAGCTGGGCACCATCAGCTTTCTTCACCACATTAACTTATGAACACATTTTTGTCTTCAGTGATCCCTTGATGCTCCATTGAGAAGGTGAACATCACAGAATGCCAGGTTATTAGAATCAAGTGTTCTTGCGTTGAGGGAGGACTTGAGTAAATGACCAATGTCTGTCTGCTATCTTAATACTTAACTTATAAATGTAAGTTAAGACCTATATCCCTATAATTATATATTAATATATTTACATGTGCACATGCCTGTTTATATCTCTATAAATGTCTTTTGCTTTCTAGTTCTTTCCTCTATTTCCTTTTACTTTCCTCCTGTCCCACTATCATGTTTGACCTTCATTCACTTGGCTCTCTGTACTTCCTCTCCGGTACACTGCACTTGATCAAACCCTACCAGGCATTCTACGTCCTCCTTGCCATCAATGTTAGATCTCTTGTTGTTCCCTTGATCCTGGGTTTGTTGGCTTCCCCCTCCCTTTCCGCCACATCTTCCTCTCTCCTGCTCCCCCCAGAACCATTAGTCCCATTGCATTCACATGATACAATTCAATAGCTCAACCATATCAAGAAGAGTTGTGCAATCTTTACCACAATAAATTTTAGAACATTCCCTTTTCCCCCATACTCATTGTTATTCACATAATTTTCCCAAAGCATCCAGCCAGACTAAAGGCAGGTCCAAGTCACTGCCATAGAAGTGATTCAGACTCATCGTGACCTTACATAGGGCTTCTGAGGCTGTAGCAGTTTATGGGAACAGAAAGCCTCAACTTTCTTCCAGGTTTGAACCATGAATCTTGTTGCCCACAGTCCAACTCTTAACCAACCACAGCATGACCAGAGTCATCTAATAAAGAGTTGATTTGTAAAATTGATTTAATAAACCTTCTAAGTGTCTTTGTTTATTAATGTCAAAGAACAGGTATATTAAAAAAAAAAGAACAGGTATATTCACTTTGACAGGGCTTAGCTAATGTAAGTTTTACATCATACATATCAAATTTTTTCAAGTTAAAGCGGTTATATAACGATAAATGTTTAAATTAAATCAACAAATAAGTGTATTCAGCAGGTCCATAATTTCACATGAAATTTTTAAAATTTCCCTTCAAAAACGTATTCCATAGTTTGAGACAAACACCATATTCAGAAAATCATACTGACCTCAATATACTACAGACTGCCCTAGGCCCTCAGTTAAGATTAATTTTAAATTCACAAAGCAATCTTTGACCACCCAAACTTAAGTACCAAAACCTTTGGCTTCTACAAAATCATAAATTTTTAGAGTAAAAAATGTGTATTCACATGTTAATATTTGGTATAAGATCACTATGATATTAATATTCCATTTGCATCTCCATAAATAATGCTGGGTAGAGATTTTTCATATTTGTTTCCTTAATATAATTTCTAGTGTCAGTAATGTTATTTTCCCATGTTTAATTTGAGTTTCACACTTGGTATATTAATAAAATACCTTCTATTAACTCTTAGAATAACACATGTTTAAATCTGTTACAGATGACCCCCATGATGAGTGACATTGACGTAGGTCATTACCGGTTTAATGAATGCACTTTCCACTTTCCGAGGAAATCCCGCAAAATATACTTTGGTTTCCAGAAATCCATTTGTGGGCTTAAAAAGTCTTCCAGGTTTATTTATGTTCATCACGGCTTCTTTGGCTATTTTAACACTAATACTATGTTCCAATTCTTCTATAGAAACCTATAATTAAAAATATAAACAATTATCAAACAAAACCAAACACCATGCATGCCATTTGAAACACTGAGCCTCAAAATCCTGTTATTATTTCAATAAATTAATTCTTCAAAAGAATCAATTTAATATATTTTAAAATGTTCCTCAACCTCTTTGAAACACCAAATTATTATAACAGGTAAAAATGTAACAGTTTTAAATGAAAATTTTAAATATACCGCATTTATAAATTTTAGCCATTTCATGGACATGATTTGTATATCATAAAATTCAATGGTTTAAATAATGAAAAAAGAATAGTACAATCATTGCCACAATAAATGTTAGATGATTCTCTTCATTCTTGAATCCATTATCATTAGTTCCCTGTTTCCCTCAACCTCCCCTATCATAACCTAGTTCTTGTCTTTATAGATTTACCTCTCTTAGACTTCATTTAAAGAAAATCATAACCTCCCTCAAAAAAAAAAAAAATCCCAACCACCACAACAAAATTAAACACAGAAACCCTCAATCTAAAAGAAAGTAGAAAATAATAAAAAGTAAATCAGGTTAAAAGAGAAAACAAATTGTAAGGTTGCTAAATTTTAACCTAACTCACAGGGCCAGTGAACTATACTGTATACCTTGTACTATATATACTATACACCCTGTATTATATATACTATATACCTTGTACTGTATATACTATACACCCTGCACTGTATGTATACTATATACCCTGTACTGTATATACAATATACATTGTACTATATATAATATACACCCTCTACTATGTATACACTATACACCCTGTACTATAGCACTGCCATGACTCGATGACAGTGAATATTTGTAGTAATCTACTTTCCAATGCACGCTGTCTGAGGACAAGACTACATCCCAGTCAATGGTCCAAGGAATCTCAATGGAAGCTTAATCCATGTGAAGACTCTGCAAATGGATTCAGGGCTTTCATTGTCATTCGTAGCCTTCCTCCCACCAGGTGATCAATTCCATGCTCCGGAGCACGCTTTTGGCAAGTAGAGTTTTGACCACTTTATGTGATAAGCATTTTAGGGGGTAAGGATGCAACAGAGCATAAGACTGTTGTACTTGAACATTTACATACTAAAATATATATTATGTTCTTTAAAAATAAGTTCTTTTATTTATTTATATAATAATCAGAGCATTATATTGATTTATATTAGGTATATGTGAGTGTATCATTTTTATTAATTATTTTATATCTTATATGATCAATCTAGTTAACAACTTGATAATAAAGAAGTATCATTAGTGTTTGGGCATTAATGAGACAAAGTTTACCATCACTGATTCACATAACCATGCTCATGATCTTAAAAATCATCTTTATGCTGATTACTCAAAAATTTTATATGGCATCAATTAAAGGCTTACTTTTAAAAATATACTCGTTTTGACCAATTCTTGCTACTTTACCTCTACTCTTTGGACACAATTCCTAACTTCTTCTGATTAAATTATTGTAATGGTTTTTACTAGATTATTATAATAGCATCGTAATCCATATTTTACTCTATTCTTACTCCCTACTATTTAGTCTCGTCAAAGCCATCCAGTCCTGATTATCTTTCATACAGGACAATTAAACCATGCCAATTCTCAAAACCATGCAAGGCTTTTCCCATAATGTCCAAGCCTTCAATAGGGTCCTCAAGGGCCTATACAAGATCTTATTAGAAACCACATTCTAACCTCATTTCCAACGATTCACTGCATCTACCTTGACCTTTGTTTTGTTTTTCAAAATACCAAATATATTCTCTCCCCTTGGGATCCTGTACTTGCTGCTCCCATAGTGCAAACCGTCTTCTCATGCCTTCCGGGGGTGTGCTCTCCAGACTCTCATTCGATGGAGCCTTATCAGTGCAGACTTTTCTGATTCCATATGCCACTCCACATCATTACTCACTATCTGCTTTATTTTTCCCTATAGCATTAATCTTCATATGAAATAGCTTCTTGTTTATGTGTTTGTTAGTTGTATCTCATTTTAGAGCAAAAAGTTTCTTCCACTAGTGACGTCGTTTATTCACTATTGCATCCTCATCCCATAGGGGGATATGTTTAAATTTATCATATAAAATGGTCAAAACATTCATTGGATGAATAAAATTATGATACAAATTATTTGAGTCATACAAAAATGTAAGACATAATCATTTAATTAGATAGCAATATTTTTACCTTAAAAGAACACTAATTATTTATTTCCATGTTTCAAAGTAATACTGTTTACTTGATAATTAGGCAGGCTATGTATCTGAATTACAAAACAATTCTATACTATACATTTTTTATTTAATTTCTCATTTATTATTTACCTTATTTGAAATTGTAGAAACATTCAAAATTGGGGACATATCATCCAGTTCACAATAAAAATTTTTAAAACAAAGTGACATGCTATCAAGTCCATGTTCTAGTTGGTAGAGTATTTTAAATTAATAACTTTTCCAATTCATATAGTTACTTAAAATATTTTTAAAAAATCCTTCCTGACCAAAGTAAACATTCTTGTTATACTAGCACTTTTAATAAACCACAAGTTAAAAAAAAAAAAAAGATAGCTGCTGAAGCTAAATCAATACAAAACCAAAGCTCCTTGGGATTTAGTTTCTTGACTTGGAAATTTAGGGTCATGGTTTTATAGGCCCCCCCAGTTAATTGGCCTAATAAACATGTTTAATGCCTCTGTTCTAACTGCTTGGATGTGCGGTACCTGGGATTTTAAACGCTTGCAATCAGCTCTCCAAGTTACAACAATTGGTCTCTCTTAATTTGGAACATGAGAAGAGAACACAGGGATGGAGGACAATATGGAATGTTTTTCTGGTGGCCTCCTCTGATAGGAGACCAGAAGAACTGAATGGTGCCCAGCTACCTTTATTGACCTGTTTTTCTTTTTAAACAGTTTTATTAGTACATAATCCACATATCTTACAATTCAATCGTTCATTTGATTAAAGATTCCATAGAATCCTGCTCCAGAGGATAAAAATGTAGGACAGAATTTCAAATTTCCACATACATCAGACTTCAAAATTTTCAGTGTGAAAGTTGAATAAACACATGAAACTACTGCCCTAAGATAATCTTTAAACTTTAAACCAAAAATATACCCCCCAAATTTTCTAAAATCAAACCACAGTTTAACACAGTGGTAAAAAAAATCCGCCTTGAGCTAGGTGCTTTTAAAGGACAATGCGTTTGGGAACAAAGTAACAACAGCAACCCAAAGGTTTGGAGAGGAACCCAAGAGGGCAGGGGGTTTATATTAATAAGCAACGATAACTCCAAACGATGAGTGAGAGGGTTATACAACCCAAATTATATGATCAATGTCACTAACTGGTACTTATAGAAACTGTTGAATCTGTGTATGTTTTGATGTATATTTTCTCAACAACAAAACCAAAATTTTAAATTATGTAAAAAATGAATAAGCAATCATAGTTTATAAATTGGGAAAATATAATACACTAATAATATTTTACAAATAAAAGATATAGAATATTAAGGTAAATCTTATTTATATTAGGAGCATGAGAATGCATAAAGTGCAATGATATTGAATTAAAGTCATAAATTGTTCAAACATTCAGCATCTAATTTATTAACAGATTAAAATTTTTCTCACTTGATTATATGTTAAGTTTACTAAAATCATTATATTTAATATAAAGTTCTAATCAGCTTCTAAGCCAGGGTTTTTAATTAAAATACTAGCATATTGCAAAATGACATGATCAAAACCACCGTTTATTTTATAAAATGATCAAAAAACACAGGAGACAAAAATATTTGTAATTGAATAACTTCCTTTCATCAAGCTCAGAATCCTGTTGTATCACATTATTCAGGAACAATTGTTTAGTGAACACCTATGATGTTAACATCACAGGCAAACATTTATGTTCTTTATTACATGTTATATATATTACCTAGGGTTTTAAACGCCCCTTGAAACTGCTGGTATTTTCAAGGTATGTAAATTCTACCTTTTGCCTGTACAGAAGAATTTATAACAGATATTTGGGTGCATTGGGCAGTAATGGTATGTTCATCAGCACAGTGGGGGGAAAGTTGTATGCACCGAAGATCCTAGACAACTCTCACTCCAAAAAGCCAAGCTACTTTTATGATAGTATCAGAAGAAGCCAGAGAATTTTGGTGGTTTCTGTGACACATTGTGTGAAACTATGAAGGATCCACTTTCGGTGTGAGGAGGCTAGAATCTTTCAACGTGAGGAGTCTATGGTCGCCAAAAAGCAGAGAGACCCCTTTTAGGATAAATACAATTGTGCCCATTGCATACCTCTACTGCAATGTATCTATGTTATATTCCATTCATTTCTTAGGCTGCAAAATATATTAAACTTTTGAAATACTTAATTCTACAGCAAAGAATATTTCTTGCCACATTTCTACTGGCTTGAACTTGGGACCCTAGCATTTTAAAAGCACTCATCAGGTTACTTTATAGATGAATGCATGAGTGGGTAAGAGAACACATGAAATAAATTAATGAGGACTTCATATGGCTTCTCAAAAATACCTCTCATCAGATTCTGTGGGCCTAGAAAGTGTCTTCTTAGAGCACCACGGTGCAATCAGTTCATATTGAAAGGTGTAGATGATCTCTCAGCTTTCCTCTGCTGGAAGTATCCATGTCTCAATTGAAGAAAAAACTTTTCCTCACTGTTAAAAAACCCACAAAACTCGCTGCCACCGAGGCTGTGCCAACTCATAGTGACCCTATAGGACAGGGTAAAATTGTCCCGTGGGTTTCTGAGGCTGGAACTATTTACAGAAGTAGAAGGCCCAATTTGTCTCCCACAGGACAGCTGATTTCGAACTGTGAACTGCGTACCTTCTGGATTGCAGCCTAAGGCGGTAACCACTCCACTACCAGGGCTCCTCACTACAGACTAGTATTAATAATCCCTTGGCCAAAAAGTGTCCCATTTTAATCCAGTTAACTAAAGTGTTGTTTTCAATCATTAAATACAAAAAAGAAAAGATGAGGAATATTAAAAAAAAAAGACTAGCCTCTAAACTCTCTCATTAATAACAGCTGGTGTTATAATGCTCAAGGAAATAGCAGGCAAGAGATCAAATGATACATTGCTGCACAAGTAAATCTGCTGCACATGTCCTCTTTGAAGTGTTGAAATGCAAGGCTGTTTCTTTGAGAATTAGGGTTTGTCTGACCCATGTTACGGTATTTGCAATTGCTCCATATGCTTGTGACAGTTGTACACCGGGTCGTTATGAGTAGGAACTGACCCAACAGCACCTAACAAGTGTTCCATGTTGAGGAGCCTAGTGTTGCAAGGACTCAATCCTTGGCATCTAATCAAAAGATCAGCAGTTTCAACCCACTGTAGACACGCAGTGGGAGGAAGATGTGAAAGTCAGCTTCCAAAACATTACAGCTATGAAAGCCCTATGGGCCTGTTCTCTCTTCTATAGTTACTCAAGTCTTAATGAACTCTATGGCCATGCATTTTGTTCTCTGAGTGTGTGTGTGTGTGTGTGTGTGTGTGTGTGTGTGTGTGTGTCTAATGTAGGAAGCTTAGGGAAAAACATTTCTCTCTATGATTACATATATAATTAGATCAATTTTGGGCTTTGAGTATGATAGGATGTCTATTTCTATTTCTCTTTCACTTAATTTTTAGTGGCTATCAAGAAATGTCCTTGGTCAATGTTGTATTTGTATAAATTGTTTTTCTTACTAATAATAAACCCTGATTTACTGAAGAGATACCCCAGGTCACCCAAATGTCATTAAAAAAAAAGGAAAGACCACGTTGTTGAGGCAAATAACTGACAACTTCAGATAGCAAGGGAAAGCCCCAACTGTGCTAAGTAAATGTATCATATCTCAGACTATTTCAGAGACCTACACAATGCATATTTCATATAATGTCAGATAAGCCCAAACCCACAATTACTTATAAAATTCAATTTTTTACAAACTGCAACAAGGTAAAAAGATTATTTATAAAATCTGGATAACATACCATATTCCACAGACCATTATTAATAACTTTGCCTCCAGTGGTGATTTTGGTTGAATCCTTATTTTTAAATTGAATTTCAATCTTTCCATCACGGAGTGCCAGCAGGAACCAAGCAGAGTGATCAAGAGATTCTGCATACAATATTACACCTTCTGAATCATATGTCCGGAAATCAAATTCAGCTGAAAATCTAAACAATGGACAAATAATGATTCTCAATAGTGAGAAATAGTGAAGGCCCAATGTATGATTGCTTTATATCTTGTGCTGGCAAGCAGTAATAAATTGAGTCAATTAATTATATTGTTCCTTAAAATTAGTTGACAGGTTGAATAAAATTGTTTAAAATCAAATTATTATGTATTTTTCCTTAGAGTTCCATAGCCCCACTCCTGCAAACCCTCCTCCCCCTGCTAAACAGATGCCTTTGTAATTTTTCATTTTTTCTTGCATACATCTTGAAGTTGCCCTTTCATTTGCTGGAATTAATACATATGTACAAATCTTAGGCACATTGCATCCCTCTGGGAAGCTTTTATACACAACCCAACCCAACATTAAGATTTTTTTCTGTACCCATTGGTGATTAGTAAAAGATGCTACAATTTCATGATGGGCTCATGCACCAAAAAGCATAGTTTGCCGATGACTTCACGTGTGTCAGGAAGGAATCACTCACAGAGCTCTAACAAAAGAGCATCTGGATGATCACAAACATAACTGAGCCTTCAAATGCGGTTTGAGACGTATTTGTTAGCTTGAAGTCTAAAGCCCTCCAATAATTCTAATTACATAAATCACTGGACTAGAAGGTACAGGAGGAGAGCTTAAGGGATAGAGGTGAGCCATGTGTTTGAGGCTAGGCCTGTTGCTGTTCATATTCTGGGCATGTACAGGGCTAGTACAGAGGAAGGAAAATCTTAGGGATGTTGGATTAAAAGTAACATGTGTTGACTCAATTCCCTTGAGACAATTTATGAGAATCAATATTGGAGCTTCCAAGGGAGCAGCAAATCAAAATGATTTTTTTTCCAAAGGAACAAACAAGGAAGAGAAAAAGTAATTGAATAACTATTAGCCATCTGGGTTAAGTTAAAAGTAATTTAAGTTAAAGTTTCAAGACATAAGATCATTATTAAATAAAACATGAAGGAATCCCAGACCCTTATCTTCAACCATGAGGGGACTTTTAAAAATTCATAGAAAAATGGAACTAAAAGATAATAGATTTTTGTCCATGAGCTTTTTGAAGGTCCCTCACGTATACACCACTGCATGTTGCTATAGAAAGAAATCATCAAAATACTACCCTATGTGACATCTAACTTTACAGCTCATCATTACATTTTTTTTTAGTGTAATGTAATGCTTTTTTTAATGTAATGCTTTCTAAAGTAAGTGCTTTCTGGGATTAAGTAGACTTACTTCCTTTATCAAAATCGTTTTGAGCAAGAGTTTTGAGTTAAAAGTAAAGACGGGTTTCATACAGAATTATAAATTGAAATGCTCAAGAGTAAAAAAGAAGAAATTCCATTTCTAAAGAAAAATGGGGCTGGAGAGATGTTCTAAAGTTCCAAACAAATGAAAGAAAGATAGCAGGATATGATTTTCTGAGCAGCATAAGCATATCATTGGTTCATATCTGATTAAACAAATAAATTAAATGTTAAAGAAAATATACAGAGACAGATAAAAAATGGTCAAGAAGAAAATAGTCACTGCTGTAACTTCAGATCCATGTATTCAGGGCAAGAACTTCACATGTAGAAAGCACCCTCTGATAAAGCCTGCCTAATCATCCCCAAACCAAGTTCCCTTGTCAGGATTGTGGTTGAAGAAGGTATGGAAAACCTCTTTTCAATAGGAGTTGTGGAATATTCCTGAATATAAGCAAGTGAGTCTATATTCAATGGGATTCTCTCAGAAATGTAGGCTAACTGAAGACTTAAGATATAGAATCTCCCAAACTCACAATATACACACCCTGGCACACTGGGCAGAGAGTGGTTACATGAGTACTCTATTGTTACAAATCACAGAATTACTGGCTTAAACTAACACCATTTGTCATCTCACAATTCTGAGGTTTGGAAGTTTAAAATAACATAATAGGCTTCTCTGATGTTTCAACCTTGAAATCATAGACTCTCAGAGGCTTCTTTAAAATTCACTGGGGTTTGGTTTGATTTTCGCAGAACTCAAGTCCTCGCAGTAGGACTGAGGGCCCCATCTTCCTGCTAGCTATTGAAGGGGGGCTGCTTGCAGCACTTCCACTAGCATTGCACAGCATGACTGTTCTTTAGGGAGAAGTTCTCTCACTTCCAAGCTCCCTGTAGGACAGTCCAGCCCTGTGTTTTAATAGCTTCCCCTGAAGAAGTCAGGTCCATCAAAATAATCTCCATTTCATTACCGCAAAATCGTCGAACTTGAGGCCTTCGTTGGTGGTGGGAGAGTTACTGTACCACGAGGTGGATTCCGGCTCAGAGAGACCCTACTGGCAGAGTGGGACCGCTCCATGAAGTCTCCAAATACCGTCCTTTCAGTTAACAGACCAGTGAACTATTGCCCCACCAGGGCACCCTGTGACTTCAATTTTAAACTGTAAAATCCCTTCTGCCACATCACATCATCACAGCGTTGTCCTCTTCCCCAATCCCAATTGACTCAATAGATTAGACAGAATGTGTGCACCAAGGCAGGCATTTTAGTGGCTGTCTTAGAATTCTGTCTTCTCCGGTGAATATAAGGAGCACTGGTGGCACTGTGGGTTCAGTAACCCCACGGCTGGCAGTCAAACTCACCAGTCACTGTGCAAGAGAAAGTTGAGGCTGACTATGCCTGGAGTGGTTTACATATTGGGCGACATGAGTCATTATTCTAGAGAGCTGTGGATTTTATTAGGGATTTTCGATTGTGGGTTGGGTAAGCACTCAATTAGCTGATAACTGAAAGGCGGGCAGTTTGAAGTCGCCAGCCTCTCTGTTGGAGAAAGACGTGGCGGTCTCTTTCCTTGGAAACCTTGGGGGCAGCTGTACTCTGTCCTGTGGAGTGACTCTGAGTGGAAATCCACTCCAAGGCATCGAGTGTTGGGTTTCCGCTTGGGTCTGAGTTTCCCGGCTGGGGCATGCGGTCTGCACTCAGCTGCTCACTCAGAGGTTAGCAGTTGGAAACCACCAAGTGCCTCTGTGGAAGAAAACCTAAAGAACTTCTCCCATAGAGATCACAGCCAAGAAAACTCTATTCAGAAACTAAACCGAACTCACTGCCATGCTGTCAATGCCAGGTAGGTCCACTCACATGCAGATATACCCACAAAGGAGTAGCCTGCATGCTACACCAAGCTACACCATGCTTCAAGACAAAGTTTCATTTCTTTGTAATTAGAAATAAATATTTCCCAATATATAATTACATATTGTTTTTGTGATGAATCACTATGCTTTAATTATGTTCAATTTGTAACAATGAAAATATATCCCGCATATCAGATATTTACATAACAATTCATAACAGTAGCAAAATTACAGTGATGAAGTAGCAAAGAAAATAATTTTATGGTTGGGGGTCACCACCACATGAGGAACTGTGTTAAAGGGTCACGGCATGAGGAAGGTTTGGAACCACACTACTCAAGGGTAAAGTAGAACTGTCTCCGGTGAGTTTCTGAGACTGTAACTCTTTTTTTTATTTCTTCCGGTTTTTAATTTTTTATTATGAATTGGGTAAAGAGGCAGAGAGCCAATCCGTTTTCCATGATGTTTCACTGTAATCCGCCCAATGTAACATCATTATCTTCCTTCCTGTGTTTACTGCTCCCATGCCTCCTTCTTGTCTGGCCCTCTGAACTTTGACCTGGTATGAATGATATCCTTTGGATCACAAATGGTCGATTGTGTTAAGGAATGCATACCTCTCCCTTGTTGTTCTTCCGATAGCCCTGTCTATTGTTTGGCTGGAAATTGAGACACAGGAACGAGTTCTCCAAACCCAAGGGTGTTGAAAGTCTCTGGAGTTGAATCAATCAATATACAACTAGCAAACCTAGTCTTTTTTTTTTTTTAATAGATTTGAGTTTTGTCCCATAGTTTTTTTCTCCCACTTTGTTAAGAACCTTCTTTTTTTTTTTTTAAATCATTTTTTGGGGGCTCTTACAGCTCTTGTTACAATCCATATACCAACTGTACCTGACATATTTGTACAAATATTGCCATTGTTCTTTTTTATACATTTACTTCCCATTGAGGCCTTGGGATCAGCTCTTCCTCACCACCCCACTCTTGAGGCCTCTTTTTTTTTTAATCATTTCATTAGGGGCTCACACAACTCTCATCACAATCCACACATACATCAACTGTGCAAAGCACATTTGTACACTCATTGCCCTCATCATTCTCAAAACATTCCCTTTCCACCCAAGCCCCCGGTATCAGGTCCTCATTTTTCCCCTCCCTCCCCACTCCCCCATCCCTCGTGAGCCCTTGATAATTCCCCTTGAGGCCCCTTGATAGATTATAGATTGTTATTATTTTCAAATCTCACACTGACCGGCTGTCTCCCTTCCTCTCTGGTTTCTGCTGTGCTTCCCCCTGGATGGGGGCATGTGGTTATGTGCCATTCGTTGAGATCAGTACCCCCTCCCACCTTCCCCCTATCCTTTTGGTATCACTACTCCCCTTCCTGTTCCTGGTTCCATGTATCATGAGTTTTATCTCTTGCCTATACCTATGCACATGCACCCATCTAGTCCAATGTGGGAAGCAGCGCTGGGGTCATGATAGTGGGGGGTGGGGAGGTCTCCAGGGATCAGAGGTATATTACCTGATCCATCGGTGCTCTACTGCACCCTGATCGACTCATCCCCTCCCTGCAATGAGACTGTAACTCTTCATGGGAGTAGAAAGCCCCATTTTTCTTCCTAGGAGTTGGTGGTGGTTTGGGACTGCCGACCTTACAGTGAACAGCCTACTGCATAACCACAATGCCACCAGGGTGTAATTTTATAACACCATGAACAATATAGATCCCACAGAAATAAGCTCAGTTCTATTGTTTTGTTTTGCTTTGCTTTGTTTTCCTCCTACTAGGGTATGCTAGGATTCCTGGTAGCAAAGTGGTTATGAATTGGGCTGCTAACCACAACGTCAGCAGTTCTAAACCACCAGCAGCTCCAAAAGAGAAAGATAGGTATTTCCACTTCCAAAAGAGAGTCTTAGAAATTCACAGGGGCAGTTCTATCCTAGCCTATAGGGTCACTATGAGTGGCCATCAACTCAATGGCAATGAGTTTGGATTTGGAGGGTGTGTTACGGAATGTGTCTCCTGCAAATCTGAGGCAGGAGAGAACTCATCATAACACTAATAGGGCTACTACTGCTTGCTATGTGACACAGCTTTCCCTCAACGGTGATGAGGAATATGGATTAAACTAACAATTTTTAGAATTCCAAGGAAATGTTATAAATAGGCAAAATATCGAGTAAACTATGTTGGATGAATAACAAATATACAAGGAATTTATTAAATTCAGATGATATACAAAAGATCCAGCTTGCTTAGAACACAGAATTCAATTCTATTTCACAACCCTCTGAGCATTCTGCTATGTGAAGTACAGATTATCTTGCCAAACCCCAAATCTGGGTATACTCAGAATCTTCCAGACGTTGATCCTATTAGGGAGTTCATTTCCTACTCTTTGTAAATTCATATGAACCAATAATTCAAAGATTTGTGTTCTGTGTATTCTCCTTCTGTAATACATCAACATACTGATTCGTTACTTTGGGGACCCATTAATTCTTTTTACAGATGTATTACAGAATGATAAGTGAATTTGTTAACTTTTGGAAGAGAGAGAGTGTTTGATTATGAGAAACAGAGGTAAGGCAATTTGGGGAAGGGGGGTGCATTATTGTGCTTCATGATGGTTATATGGACAACAGTTTGTACAAAGTACCAATAAGTACTACATTTACGCTACACATTAATTTCTGCATTATACAAGGGGGCTTCAAAAAGTTTGTAGAAATGTGGACTTGAAATATTATATAATTTGTTTGAGCTAAACTAAAAATACTAGGAAAAATATCTACCCAATTCTGACCCAGTGCTAGGGATCTAGCTATTGTGAATTGTTAAAAAGAATGAATACCCTTGAAATGCTTCAAGATAAAACAGAATAAATTTGTCTCACTAATTCCCTTAGAAAAGAAAGGTTGCCTGCAATCCACACGACTGAAAAAAAATATTTTATTTGAGATGTATTAAAAGAAAAAAAAAAACATATCTTGGGGGAAATGAGTTGATAAAATAACAATTATATCAAGGGGTCTTAGAGTAAATGTTTCTGTCTCTTATTGATCTATAATTACTTCTTGCTATAAAGGTCTTATTGATAAAACTGTCATGAATTTAGTTAAATTATTTAAAGAATAATCTTTCACATTTTATCTAATGAATTAAATTCTGAATATTTTTCATTAAAATATTTAAAAATCTGTCACTCCATAATCAAAAATATTTTCTGTAGTATTTAGAAGATTTATATCAACTTGAAGGTGTATAAAAGTGAAGAATAAAGGTATAAAAGCATAGGAGTGGAATCCACGCTGTCAATCAGGTCACAGCCTGATGCTGCTTCCTTGGGGGGGTGGGGGGGGGAATCCTTCACATGAGGAGGACCCTGGAAACCTCCTTCTCTCTGTTCCCTTTGCTTCCTCTGCCAGTGACTGAGAGCTGCCAGGCCTCTGCCATGTTTCCACCAACCTTGGATCCACACAACTCTACACCCCTGGCTTATGACTCTCCTGCATTCTACATATTGCATATAGCTGTGTAAGTCTGATGAGGGATTTATGGACTAGTATTGAAGTTATGGACTTGAATTAGTCTAGGCTGGCACATTTTCTTGATATACAATTACTTCTTGATATAAAGCTCTTTCTTACACATGTATGACTGTCACAGGATTTGTTTCTCTAGTCAACCTGGCTTGATGCATTTCCTATCCATCATGCAAGCCATATTACCATTTGTTTCTTCTAGTTCCAACGATTCATAGCTCTCAGAAAATCTGATAACTAAACTCAAAATATAAGAAACACTCAGTCCCTAAAGTAAACCTAACTATAAGAATAAACGGTTTTAGATTAAAATATTTTTAAATTACCGAAAATTCTAAAATTTGAATTGCATTTTATTTTAATAAATAAAAGCAAACATATAATAATTAAAATGCATACCTTATATTTTACTGTTATTGGAAATATACATTAAATATATAAATAAAGAAAAAAGCAAAATATTGTTTTTAATTTTAAAGTACTTATTTTATATGATGAAATGACCATATCAATTCTCAGTAATTTTGAATATAACTAGATTAAAATAATACCTTGAATATTTTCTCCTCATTTTCATACATGTATTTAAAAAATGATAATTTGCCTGGAAAATTATCATTTTTTAAATACATCACCGCCTTATATGTATACCTTAAAAACAACTCAAACAGAGGAGCCCTGACATCAGCTGGAGTCTTCCCTTCAGTAAGGGAAGAGAGGGAAAAGGCCGTTCTTTTGTTGCTAGGCAACACTGGGATGGGGTCACGCCAAGTCAAGGGACATGATGACGGAATCTTATTGGAATGTCAAATTACCTATGTTTGGGAGGAAATGCTTCTATTTCTGCTGGGAGGTAAACAGGGAGTAGCAACTTCTCATGGGGGAGCGTGGGGCAGGGGACACTTAACAATACTTCCATATGACCCCAAGGGAGCCTAAGCTGATACCATGTCCCTAATTAGACACTTTTGACCTAGTTTCTATTCAGCCCTAGGAGACTCAAGTCATAGGCTATAGGCTACCACTACTTTAACTCGGCCCTCCAAGGGACACAGCATCCTTCAGAGGCCACACTAGACAGACTCAATGTGGAATCCCCACCTCAAACTTACCTGCAGCCCTTGGAATTAAGAAGGCAACTCCTTGGTGTGAGAAGAAATCAATGACTGCCACTTCACAGCTATGGATGTGCTGGTGGATGGACTTTGGGCCGGATTCCAGGTTTTAAGGGTACCCAATAAAAGAGACCAAACACCACCATATATTTATGATTAATGCCCTCCTTGTCTTACTATGACATGTATTAATCTGATAAGCAAGGTTCTGCCCTATTGAATGAATTTTCATGTTAATTCTGCTCTATTAGCAACTGCCATTGTCAAAGTAAATAGTGCTCAATCCTTTAAGAGTTTGAACTGTACAAATCAACAATTCATGGAATGTAGTTCAGAGCTGTCTATACTGGTACAACTTCCTTTTTGCAGCAGTGAGTTATACTCTATACCATTGGCTAAATTAATGACACCATCAATAGAGAATTAATTTATACCCTAGGGGGATGACTGAGAATGATCTCTGGCATAGAATGTGACCTCTAAAGCAGTGGTTCTCAACCTTCCTAATGCCATAACCCTTTAATATAGTTCCTCATGGTGTGGTGACCCCCCCAACCATAAAATTATTTCACTGCTACTTCATAACTGTAATTTTGCCACTGTTATGAATCAGGCGACCCCTGTGAAAGGATCGTTCGACCCCCAAACGCATCGCGACCCACAGGTTAAGAGCCGTTGCTCTAAAGTGCACCAGAGACATACACAACCTCAGATAGGTGAATTGATTTGGGGCTTGCACTTGATTCTAGTCCCAAGCTAGGAATGGTTGGTTCTTATGACATATCCCTGCTCATTGCTCCCCATCATGAAGAGATCGCTTAAGATATTGGTGCTACAACAAAATACGCTGAAGAAAACACATGGCATCTGACTATCAAAAGAACAGCATCTGCAGTCTTAAAGTCTTGTCTTAAAACAAGCAGCATTCTAAGTGAGGCGTCAACTAAGTCCACATGGAAGAAGCCCACCAGCCTATGTGATCCAAGGATGATAATAAAATCCAAATCTGAAGGAGAGAATAAAATCAGAGCTTAAGTGGTGAATACCTAATTTGCAGAAGGCAATGGATAATAGTGGGAACGCAAAATTATGGTAAGTTCCTTTTTTGGGTCCTAGTCTGAAGACTAAAATGGGTGACGCTATAGAGACGGTAACTGGATTAGAAGCTCATTGGGAACACAAAGTGCGGGCAGGGGCAGTTTGGAGGGAAATGGGGAGTTAATCATGAATACAAGAGGATGGAAATGCTCTAGAATTGATCGTAAAGAATATTGTACACTCTTATTAATATGGCTGAACAATGAATGTATATGATGTATGAACCATATTATCAATTAAACTATATTTAAAAATTAATATCTCACAAATATAGTAAACCTGTTTTTCTACCTTTTTTAATACAGGAGAGGGCTTCAAAAAGTTTATGGAAAATGAAATTAAAAGACAATGGAATTTTTCACAAACCTTTTAAAGTCCACTCATAAGTATTCACTCAAAAATAAAAAAGGATAGAATTAAGGGAAATGTTCACTGAGGAAACCTGGTCTAGAATGATCCATACAAGATTCTAGCATGAAAATTAAATGTGTTAAGGAGAAAATTAACGGTAAAGTTTCCCTAAATCATTTGATTGATTATACATCTAAATTACCTGGTTGATTACATAATTATGTATATTTCCAGCCTTTCTTTTTAGTCACTTCTTTGGATCATACAACTATTTTTGCTTCAAGCATTGTTAGTTAATTATTTTCTTCTGTCCTTACTTGTTTAAACTAGAAAATATAATTGGCATTGGCTCCTCACCTGGTGATGTCTGGCAAACGAAACTTTAAATATAAAACGACCCCCACAAATTGTTCTGCCAAGTAAAGTAATTCATATTTTTTTTCAAGGTTCAAGGGAAGGCACACTGGAATGGCCTGAAAAAAAAGAAAAGAAAAGGCTACAAAAGTTACTGTTCAGTATTTGAGTCAGGTTGTAGATCCTTATTCGGGTTCCTAGTGGTCTTATCAAATGGGTCCTCTCAGCAGTGCTTGGTTACCCAGTTCACGAGAGAAGCCTTAGCTTCCTTGTACTTACTTACTAATCTGTAGTGAGTAATTGTACATCTTTCACCACACCAAAGATTCGACTTGTCGGTATGGCTGGCACCTGTCTTGCCCCCCGTCTCACAGCACCTGCCTACAGAGTTAAGCTGCATTTCAGATTTACAGACTCTAAGCGTGACAGTGTATGCCATTAACAAGGTAAGCACAAGCTTACTTCACTGACTTTCTAATCAGCAGTGTCAAGTATCAGTTTTCTAAGAGTAAATTTTAAGTAACAAACTGGGAGGGGAGCATTAAAATGGAAAGTCTTTCAGGATTAATTTATTGGGCATGTCTGAATACATTCAGAAATAACATTTCATTTCCTCTTAGAATATGCATAAAATCTATTCCAAGGCACATATGGTGATGTGTAACCACAACAAATACTGAAATTAGAAGGAAGTACATTTCATAATGGACATTCATACCATGAGGTATTTCAGTAAGTGACACCAAAATTTCTAGATATAGCAAAAAGTCATAATATCAAAGCCTACGTTTTTGTGGACACAAATAGTTTTGGTAAATGTATAGAGGTCGGTGTACACACATGGTGAAATCAAGATTTATTTGGCTAAATTACTACTTAACATGGTTAAAGCACAATGGAGAATTTTTTATTTTTTGCTGTCCGCCTTATTTTCTCATGATCTGCCAAAATTTCATTTAGACTGGAAAAGAGATAAGAATTTGGCTAGGGATCTCTAACATATGATCCTTATTTCGAGGTGCTTCAGATTGTAACTTGTTTATTTCATTCATCTTAAACCTCTGGCCTCCTCCCAGCATCTGATTTCTGGATCAGTTATGTATTAAATTTCAGTAACTAAACACGAGCTTCAGAAACACAGATGAATAGAACTGACCACCAGGAATTTGAGAATACGGAAACTAACTAAATCCCGTTAGGACCAGTGGTTTCCACCTGACCCTTTTGGAGCACTGTTACAAGACTGCCCTGAGCATGGCCTGATCAAACTTGCGAGGAGGAGATGAAGCAAGCACAGGAAATATGTTTACCTGGAGCTGTTATGGCAAGATTGCTTCCCTCACCAAGGGAAATATAAGCCTCAGTCTTTCTCGGTGTCTTAAATGAACATACACTTTGTAGTCTGTAACTGCGTAGGTTCTACAAAGGAGTGTGCTCGACACTGTGACCTTGAAGTTCAGTTTTAAAAACAGATAATGACATGTAGCCTCCTGAAATAAAACAAGGGTAGAACATCCCTTGATTTTCTGGTTTATAGCTCAGCTATTTGGAGGTCAGGATTTGAATCTGTCCTTTAAGGAAAAAGAGGAGAAAGTTAGCACTGTAAGATGTTTACCTCACATCGCTTCTGATCTTGGGCAAGTTTAAATCCTTTCTTGCCATCGCAGTAACATGAGTAACCTCCAGCGTAATTGACACAAAGTTGGGCACACATGTTCTCGGCACACTCATCCACATCTGGGGTAAAAGAGAACATAAACTTTGATAGATCCTAAATGTTTGACCCAAATGAAGAGGGGGTACTCTGTTTTTAATATAAATCAATAATAATAGATCCTTACTGAAACAAACCCCTATAACATCACAGCACATTTAAAGAATTGATATAGAAATGAAAATGATTAACAAATTTAATCTCTGTTCATTTATACAGCTGAAAATGTTTCATTTGTGAATTCAGTAATCCATCACTTCATAAAAGTACATCAATTATACTAAATGGCCTGAACTGGAATTTGAAGAAAAATATTAAAAGGGTGAGAATGTCATGATAATTGTCCCTTCTGGCTTCATGATTCCAATGAAGCCACCTTCCAATCCTTTGTTTTGAAGAAGAGATAGGGAAGGATGGAAAGAAAATACCTCTTTTAGTGAAGGTCTAGTGAGGATGACAATTAAATGACTATAGCAAGAACGTTTCCCTCTCAGAAGGCAATGATTAATGGTGGAGAAAAATTTAAGGACATACCTTTCTTTTTAGCATTTTTAAACACTTCCTTGTGATATTTATCACCCCTTATATTTTGAAATCTTCTAAGTGATACTGCCCTTTTTTTATATTTTGAGAAAATAATTCTTGAAATTTTGTAATTTTATGCTTAAAGTCCACTTCATATTCATATCCACCCTGAACATTTCAATGACTGTGCCCTGTTGTCCTTAAGATTTCCCAAATTCATAAATGCATTATAGCATATACCATACATATTCGTGTATATACCAAGTTTTTCAGCACATTTTTATGCAATTTTTGTGATAAAATTAGGTGACTCAGCTGATATTCAGGTTGGCTTATACTTGAATTTATACAGCAATTTTCATAACATATTGCCATAAAATAGAACCGCAAATTAGTGACCCTTTAATAGTACTAATAATTGCATATCACATCACTAAAGTCATATAAATATATACAAAGTCAGATATAGATATTTAAATAAAATGGTCACTCATTGATTAAAACTATATTACAGATGATGAAATTGGCTAATGATAAATCCAGCAATACTTAGAGTTTACCACAGTAATTTTTGTCTGGGGTGAAGGTGTTTAATTATAACAGGCCTTTCCATTTTAGGGTAAATTATTTACTTATGTATACAAAAGACGTGTTTTAAAAGCTTAGGGGAGGCGGGAATCAAGGTTTGTATTCACACCCTTTTTCCACTGCCCAATTTTTAAACTGTTTGTGTGTGTGTGTTTTCTTTCACACTGAAATTCTCTTTACCTTTAACTATTATTTAAATGGTGTCACAATGTGTATATAGTTTGCTTTCATCACACATTGAAGCATCTGACTATATAAAGCATAAAGAGCTAATCAGAGTATTTTAAACACTAACCTTAAAAACCATTTTTTTCATACACACTTTTAGTCTAGAAAGAAGTCCATTTTCAGCAAAACCAATACTCAAACGTACACCCTCTAGGATCAACAATAATATTACCACAACTCTACCTTCACAAGAGGTTGATTTTGAATTGTATCTGTAGCCTTCAGGGCATTCACATTCAAAGTCTCCAGGGATGTTTTTGCACACAGCTGTGCCACATATATTTGGCTTCAAGGCACATTCATCCACATCTATAAATGAAACAAATAATTTTTTTAATATTTCTACCCCATAATAAGATGATGTTAGTAAAGAACCTATGATTTGTGTTTCCTGAATCTAGTTTAATATTTGTAATGAAATGATAGAGTGACCTAGGAATAACAAAAATAAAATCTATTATATTGCAGTTCATTAAATATAATATATTCATTCAAACACAGAGATTTTGATTGACACAATGTTTGTGATTATGGCAAAATAGGCTTTGTTGTTCTTGTTGTTTTGTCTACCAGGTTATAGTATGACAAGGCAAAGGAGAATTGACAACCATATTTTTAATCTGTTTTCCTAAACAGGCGTTTCTGGCATATGTTCTGAAAATGTACTCCATATTATCACAATTTAAAATAAAAAATGAAGATGGCTCATCTGTCTTTGGAAATAGACAACTGATAAATATACTATTATTAATGCCAAAAATATTTAACCATGATATGACTGTCAATGTGTTATACTGTGGAGGTTTGTGTGCTACTGTGCAGCTGGTAGCCATCACTGGTATATCAGATGCCAGCAGGGTCACTGAAAGTGAACAGGTTTCAGCAGAGCTTCCAGCCTAAGAACAGACAACAAAGAAGGACTGAGCTCCCACTTCTAAGGAAGGAGTCACTGAAAACCTTAGGCGTGCCTTCAAAACACAGTCAGATACTGAAGGCCTAGATATTGTCAGAGATTGTGCTGGAGCATGGGTCCATTGGGATAGTAGGAACTCAAACTGTAAGTGAGGAGGAACAGATTTCTCGGAGTGAAGTCCACCATGGTGACAGGAGTCAGGTAAAGCTTGTGGGAGCTGAGCTTTCTGGATCTTCATTTGATGATGGGGCATGACTCAAGGGAAGGAGAAACAACTGCAAACATCTGCTAATGGTCAGAACTTGGAATATGCAAAGTATGAATCTAAGAAAATTAGAAGTCGTCAACAACTAAATGTAATGCATAAAGATCAATATCCAAGGCATTAGTGAGTTGAAATGGACTGGTATTGGCCAATCTGAATCAGAAAATGACATAATTTACTATCATGGGAATAACACTATCAAGAGGAATGTGTTGCATTCATTGTCAAAAAAGACAATGTAAAATTCATCATGAAGCACAATGCTATCTGTAATAAGATTGAATCTCCCATCCTTCAAGGATATCCAATCAATACAAGTATTAATCAAATGTATGCACCAACCGCAAAAGCTTTTTCAATCTGTATGCTGAGCAAATAATCAGAGAAGCTGGTTTATAAGAAGAATACTGTGTCATCAAGATTGCAGGAAGGCTTATTAACAACCTGAAATATGTAGATGATACAACCTTGTTTATTGAAAGTGAGGAAGACTTGAAGCAGTTGCTGATGAAGATCAAGGTTTCAGCATTTAGTATGAATTACAACTTAATGTAAAGAAGACCAAAATTCTCACACCTGTATCAATAGGGAACATCATGATGAATGGAGAAAAGGTTGAAGTTGGAGTTTGTCTTGCTTGAACCCACAATCAATGCTCAAGGCAACACCAGTCAAGAGACAAACAGAAGAGTTGCACTGGGTAAATTGTGGGGGGAAGTCAGATCCTTGCTGCCAGACTGCTGTCTCATCCCACCAAGGGGGTGGGCCTGCTCCCTGCTGCTGGGGACAATGGCCTACTTCTCTCTGAAGCTTGGGACCATTAGCTTGGTTCCTCTAGGTGGGGTTTGCACCCTACTGATAAGGGTTCCTATGGAGACCCAGAGACCAACCCCTAGACCACCCTCTCATTGCTGTGTAACCTATAGTGCAGCCCCTTCCTGTAACGTATGTCTTTACCTGTAATTAGTGGGCTGGATTGCCCCCAAAAGGTATATAGGTGTGAGTCAGCAGAACTTCTCTCTCTGACCCTGAGCTCCTTGCCGCTCACTCCCTGGTCACTCCCCTCTCCCTTGTTCCCTTTCCCTCCTTCCCTTCCCCCTCTCCACGTGGACCACCAAGCTGGGCTGAGGTGAGCAGTGTTGCTATGTATCATGCCTGACTGTATTATTATATTATCTCTCATGCTCTCGATGACTTTAATATAATGCTTATATATCTCAACCGTACAATTGTGCATTACTGAACCCAGAAGTAGTATTACTGAACCAGTGAGTTCAAGCAGCGGGTGGGGGCTGGCTACCTCACCCCTCCATCAGCGTCAATTATTTTTTATTTAATACTACAGTAAATCTTCTGCACAAGACCTCTTTAGAGTATTGGAAAAGAAGGATGTTACTTTGGGGACTAAGGTGCCCCTGACCCAGGCCATGATATTTTCAATGACCTCATATGCATGTGAAAGTTGAGCATTGAATAAGGAAGACTGATGCATCTGAATTGTGGTATTATACAAGCATATTGCAAGGACCATGGACTGCACAAAGGACAAACTGATCTGTCTTGGAAGAAGTGTGGCCAGTGTGCTGCTTACAGGCAAGGATGGCAAGACTTCATCTTATGTACTTTGGACATAGTGTCAGGAGAGACCAGTCCCTGGAGAGAGACATCATGTGGTAGAGTGGAGGGGCCGTGAAAAAGCGGGAGGCCCTCAAAGTGATAAACTGACACAGTGGCTGCAGAAATGGACACAGGCATCGGAGCAACTTGCAAGGACAGTGCAAGATCATGCGGAGCTTTGTTCTGTTGTGCATAGTGTCACTACAAGTCAGAATGGACTCGAGTGCACCTAACAACAACAATGACAAAATAACGAACAGTTATTCAAATTTAAAATAGTACCGAGTAAGAGGTTAGAGAATTTATACAAACTTAATATTAAGAGAATATATAAAGCAGCAGCCTATTCAATACCAATTGTGGTAAAATTAACATTTCAGAAATGTCATATGCATTTACACATGATATAGTGGAATAAGTGACCAAATATTAGTTGTAACTAGTTGTTAAAGGGGAGTGCTGGTAGCGTAGTAGGTTATTCATTGGGCAGCTAAGTGTAAGGTTAGCAGTTCAAACCTATCAGAGGCTTCCCAGAAGAAAGATGAGGCTTTCTGCTCCCATAGATATGTATAGCCTCAAACCCACAAGGAAGTTTTATAATTCAGAATTCACTTTGCGTCAGAATTAACTCAGTGGCAGTGAGTTAAATTGAGTTATTAGAGAGACACCCATGGGGAAAGCACATAAAAATGGTTAAATGAAGACGGCGTTATTAGTGAGCTTTTCTCATCTGTGCTCTATGGAAAAGACAAGTTCAGAATGAAAGACAACTTTTTGACCCTGAATAGGCTATTTAATTTTATTCCAAAGATAGAAAAACAAAACTTAGAAATTATTCTATTTAAAATATCATGCACAAAATAATTAAATCCGCTAAATATTTTGTTTTCCTATACTTGATCTGAAGATTTTTTTAAGGGGGGGGGGGATTACCCTGATGGTAATTCCACCTTACTGAAACCAATAGGAGAAAAAGAGCAATCCATCCTTACCATATTTTTATGGTAGTGTAAAATATAGCCAGAAACGGGAAATAACAGTGATGCCCTTCAATTGGCTAATGTTTAAAACCAAGTGTGATACATCCATACCAGGAAATACTACTCAGCAATAACAGGGAAGTCTTCGTTCAGGCACCAACTTAGATGAATTTCTAGGTTTTATGCAGAATGAGAAAGAAAAGAAAAAAGCCAATCCCCCCCCCCAAAATCATTACATGTATACAATGTTTTTAAAAAGACACAATTAAAGAAATGGAATACAAATGAATGATTATCAGTGTCCAAGATGAAAGCTGGGAGAATGCAAGTGGGAGTATTTATAAAAGGGCAATTGGAGGGATCCTTGTGGTGATGGGATTGTTCCACATCTTGATTGTAAGTCAAAATATTGCTACAAAAGCATAAAAGTCAGTAATAGACACTCAAAGGGTGAAGCAACTGTTTCCTCCAGCGACGTCTATGTATTCTGAAAGCTGTGTTTCCCTCCAGCTAACCCTTCCCCAGATATCTCTGCGCTCTTCTACTTGTACTAAATCAACACATCAGTTTCGTCATCCTCAGGGGACTCAAATTGCGCTCCTTAATGCTCTTTGAGTTGAGAAAGCAAAAAGAAGTATGCAACAGCAAGATCAGGGCTGCAGGGTTGATGAGTGAGTTAGTTAATTGTGCCAGCCTGGCCGATAATCACATGTGGTGCTGGTTGAAAGGCGGAGGGATAAATGGGTGGTGAAGCCTCGCCTTTCTAGTTCTCGGGTCTCTTGTTTTGTGATGGTTGCATCGGGTGCAGCTGCCTTAGCAGTTCCCTGCTTCAGCTTGCAAGATGGATTTCCTACAAGACATCCCCAAGGAGAAGCCGCATGGATCTATCCCGATGCAGCCCTGGGTGCTGGAGCGGCCGTGTGGAGACCCCTGCCAGTGCTGAGATGCTTACACGTTCACTGACTCAGCTTTCCTCCTGCAGTCGGCATTATTGCCTCTGTTTTGTGAGGTGAAGGACTTTGTGGACTGGTGTTGGGTATGGGTTAATGTTGGACTTGTGGGCTTGGGCAGCATTGGGTTGGGATGTTTTCGTGATGCACATTTTCTTTGCATAAAACTCTCTCTTATACATGAGTTGCTGTGGATTTGTTTCTCCAAAGTACCCAGACTAATACAATGAGCTAAGGCTGATCCATGAAATTCTTACAGGAGAGCCCTGCTGCCCCTGAAGATAAGCAAATGCACTCCTGATTCTGGGGCACAACTTGCCTGGTCTTTTATCAGGTTTCATTACATTTCTCCATAAGAACCCCTGCTAATGTCTTGTTTCCTGTGAGAAAAATCGATCCAGATTTCCCTGTTGATATCCCCAAGAAAACAACATAACCTTCTGCCCTAACCTCACTGCCTTGCCTGTCACTGGCCCAGCAGATCCCCTAGGAATCCTTTGCTTTCATTGGGTGGTCTTTTTCATTTTGACCACCCAAATGAGACCAAGACACGTGTTTTATGGACAGAACCTGTCTGCCAATGT